AAGGAGAACCAAATATCTGTGCCAAAATTATAATCAAGGGTATCTCTCTTGTTTTTAAGTTATATAAAATAGTAGGACATACTAGAACTGTCTTGTTCTTGTTTTTACCAATATCAACTTGCTCTCATTCCCATCTGGTCATGTGTGGGCTGGTAGTCAGCAATCTGACCCCTAGTTCCCCAGATTTGACCTTGTGAGACCATAACTAAATATGTCCTGCAGCTAAAATCACTTATAGGACGACTCTGTGAGTTAGAGAACCAGCAGAACTGGTAGTTTTGGTTCAAACTCCTGGTGAACAAAAGAGAAGAATAAAAACATTTTAACCTGAAAATGGTCGCCTCGCTTTTCAGTCCAATTTTTGGCTATTTTGAGGTGAGAGTGTCTTGCAGGGAACTATTCGTGTTTGCTTAAAATGTATATATCAGGACAAGTCAGGGGCAAACAGATGCACAATATTTATTTCTTGGGCGCTGAAAGACTTAATTAAATAGCCAAATTCAACTTGAGCGTTAGCTTCAGCGCATGAGATGGAGAAAAAAATGGCAGCCGATCAAGGTCGCTTCCCCTCGGTGTTTATCAAAACATGCTGGGTGGCTCTGAATGGAGGAGTGACCTTGACGCTCGCTGAAGCTGCCAGCAGGAGATGGAAGATTTGCCTCTCAGTCACCAAGGACCGATGGAGCTGTTGAATTTGTCCTTGTGTGTGTTTGTGATCGAGCGAGTGGCAGCCGACAAAGATGTCTGCCTCTCTGTCAGGTCAGGAAGTGCATCTGCATTTTAATTAGAGATGAAAATGTGACAAACAGTTCCTACAAAGGGCCTGAATGTGCAGAGTTAATCAAAGATGGGAATGTTTTTGTGTGACGCAGGTTCAATGCCGGGTGGGGGAACCTGCTCTGCTTTAGCCAGGCCGGTCAAAGTGCAAACTGCACACACAGACCTCATCAGTTTATTAGCTGCACAGCAAAAACACTAAATATTACCAAGTCATTTTGGTCTGGTTCCTTCTGCAAATGTCTGAAATAAGACAAAAAAACAAACTTCCAAGTAACTTTTCACCAAGATATAGGAGGTTGTTTAAGTTAAAATTCCTTAATATTGAGGAAAAAGTTTTACTTCCACAGGCAGATTATTTTACAGGACATTTTTCTCATGTTATGTGAACTAGTACTTAAGGAATTATTTACTTAAAATAAGCTCATATAACTTGCTGAAACGTAGCGCACTAGAAATAGGACTAGGATGCTTTGCACCAACTGCACCAAGAACCACCGAAAGAAACAAAAACTCCTGAAGACACTGAGCACAACTTCCTTCTTCATGAAATGAAAACAAAACAGAGTAGTGTCACATTTAGCAGTGGGATTATTGCTCTTCTGTCTAGTAAAAGACCAAAGTCATTTCTCCTGCTAGCGTTGGACTAGTGCGTTTGTTTTGGATGTATTTACCCAGAATGCCCTGCGCTGCAGTCCACTTCCTGCTTTTTTTGAACGCCGTCTTTGGTTCACTTTGCGTTCACATATGCATTCGAACCACATGAGAGTTCACTTCTCGCACATTCACTCCTCCATAAACAAACCAGACTTTCTTATCAAAGCTGGTGTGTCGTCCACTTCAACACAACAGAAGTTGTGTGTTTTTGTTGTTTGTGTTTTTCTGGGACAGAACAGCAGCCCAGTCTCTAACAGGAATGTCCCTCTGGTGACAGATCTTCATCCTGAACCTGGGTGTTTGCCACCAGGGCTTCCCGCCCCACTGACCCCGATGCAAAAGCAGCGTGATATTACCACGGCCCTTCTCACTTCCCCCCACCCCGTCTCCCACTCGATCTTCACCGTCTCCTCTCCATCTGGCTGTTCGTGGTTTCCGCTGGTCCGATCCGTCCTTTGTCTCTCTGTAACTAATATGACACATAAAAGAACGACGACAATAGGAATGGCCGCCCAAAAATCAGGCTTTACCTGATACCAAACCTTTACTCGTGTGCCCCGGGGTGTGCACAGCCTTCATGGGGAAGGAAGGAGGAAGAGGAGGAGGCAGTCAGAGCTTACTTATCTTTTCATGTGGCTTTTTCTTTTTAAGAAGCTATCAGACTCCGTCTTCAGTGGTTATTCTCTTCAGGAGGATGTTTTGTTCGACAGGAGGAAGGCTTTAATACCACGGCCCTTGGGGTTAATAATAGGTTTGACCTGACAGATAAACTTGTGTGTATCAAAGTGTTTGTACATGACTGTGCTCTGCCTCTCCTCCTCTTTAAATTTAAAGTCTGTGTAATAACTTGTTTTACAGATAATGCCAATTGTCTTTGACTGTAGAAGCTCAGCGATAAGCTGCCAAACATCGACGTGATTCTAATTGTTCTGCTCGGCTTGATTTGGTGCAACGCCATGGTTACGGTCAACCGGATACGGCTGAGGGTTCTCCACTGTCACTGAAGGCTACAACAGATAGTACGTTTTATTTGGGCTGGAATAATCCTCATGTTCTAGATAAGCTAGCTGACGTTAGCTGTCATGTTAAAGAAAAAAAACAAAGAACGTAAGAGCATACAAAGTAAAGTTGTACACATTGTTCGAGTTTCTAATGCAAATATCTGTAAATAAGATAAAATTAATTGGCAAGTAACTTTTCAGCCACATAAAGGAGCTTGTTTTAAATTAACTATCCTTTATTGAAACCAGAAATTTCCACACACTTTTTAAAGACACACATAAGCATTTGTTACACAATTGCATAAAATCAGAACAAACGTTTCTCGTTTTATGTGTATTAGGATTATTAAGATGTTTTCTATTCACATCTAATGAACTGCAAAAACACAATTTTACCAAGTATTTTTGGTCCAGTCTCTAAGTCAAAACTAACAAGTAGTTTTTCAGAAAGACAGCAGTTTTTTAAGTAAATAATGTCTTCATGTTGTTAAAGAAAAGTAGTAGTTTGACTATGGGAAAAATGTCCTGTTACAAGTGAAACAATCAGCCAGTGGAGCCAGTGGTTTCATCAACACTTAGCAATTATTTACTGAAGTTAGTTAGTTTTTCTCTTATTTCAAGTGTACTAAGATATTTGCAGCAGAATAGATGAAAAGTACTTTGATTTAAGATTTGTGTTTTTGCAGTGTAGCCTTGAAATAATTTGCAACAGGTCTTGGCTAAAATCCAACAATCCAACTTAAAACCTTTTACAGCTTTAATGTTGCCACATTATTTCTATCTTTATCATATTTTAAATCGTGTTTAATAACATTTTTGTAACAATTGAAGGTAACATAATTACTTGATTGTGCCATAACATGACGCTATGTGTCTGGAAAATACCTAATACTGAAATGTACAATAATTTTAACCAATAGGTTTTATCCCAGGTCCTTCGTAGGGGACTGTGGGACTTAGGGACTATTTCTGTGGAAGAAGAGTCAGACATGGAGCTCTTAGGAGACGGACAGACAGCAGAGCAGAAAGGTGAAACTTCAGAGGAAGAAGCAACAGCTGAGGAGTCTGAATATTACAAACCCTCACCAGCCTGAAGAGCAACGTGTAAGGTAGGGTAGTGTAATTTATCGACTGATAAATTGATTGATTAGTAACTACAAATTGAAATTGGTCATTTTTTCCTTGAGAAGACATATAAACTAGGTGAGACCTATCCTGCAGTTGGTGCAGAAAGGCTGCCTCAGCCTGCCTACATCAAGGTAACTCTCTTCACATGCTGGTGTCATGTTGTACCAGGAAAAGCAAATCCCACTGGACTGAAAGTATTTCTGCTTCCCAGTCAGTCACAATGGTCTGGAGCTGGAATCTGAGGTTCACAAAAGCAGCAAAACATTCACTGATCTGCAGCTGGGAATTTGGATGATTGCGGTTGCTTGGAAGCCACGAAGTCTGCCAAGCGGAAAACATCCGAACCTTCAGAACTATTTCATCCTTTATCAAAGCATTGAGTATGCTGAAAGAAACTGGTCTTCTGGTAGCAAGGACTATAATGGAAACATGATTATCGAACGCTACGGCCCATTGGTTAAGTTGAGCTGAAGCTGCAGTATCCAACTTGTATAAAAACATAACTTTTTACATATTGGTTGAAATTGTTTGTTATGAGAGAGATAATATGAGAAAAGATCGATCTCCTCCACTACTACAGCTACTACTGCTGTCTGAACAAATTCTCCACTCCCGACCAAAAACAACCAACCAGAGCCAGATGGAGGGTCTTAGCGTTGTCAATCAATCTCATTTAATTGCTGCTAAATGTGCTAATGCCGGAGAAACAACTTAACATTACAGAAAAACCATTTATCTGCCATCGTTGGTGGCTATGCTAACTAGTGCAGCTTTCAACCACCGGATCTACTCACAGGGAAAAGGTGTAGCGCTAGCAGAGGTCAAGGGGCGGAGCTGGAGGAGAACAAGCGGTGCCGCACAAAATTATGACTGACTAACGCTAAGACCCGTTTCTGGGCTCTGATTGGTTGTTTCTAGTTACCACTGGGAGAATCTGTGAAGAAAAAAATAAATCAAGCTCTACTTTCTGCGAGTCGTGCAGCGAGTACATGATGTTGATTGACAGCGCTGAGACCCTCCTCCAGGCTCCGACTAGTTGTTTTCAGTTGGGAGTGACAGCAACAGTAGCTCAGAGAGGAGCTGGAGATCGATTTTGTTTTTACAGATTATCTGTGTCATAAACTGTGACAAACTGGTGACAGTTTTAACAAAACATATTCTTTATGAAAAATACATACTGCAGCATTAAGTAGTAATATTTTTCATAACTTTATCATTCTGAATGTCTTCTGTGTTATAGGCCTAATAAATTTCAATACTGAAGACACCAGTGACTTTAATAGATTATTAGACCGATTATGAATGATGAATTTCCATTGATTTGGATGAAAGACAGGTTTTTCCATCACAAATGCACGTTAGCTTTCATGTCCCTTTAACCGAATCTGGCCTCTTATTTTAGAGCTGAACAGCAGAAAAAAAAAAGTTTAATTATACCTGGATTTAACCGTTTGATGCAGGCTCACTTCCTCTCCCCCGCAGCGCTCTCTGGTTTCAGCAGGTTAAGGTGGCATGAGAATGACCTGGCAGGTGGGGTCAGAGGTCTCAGGGTCAGGGCTACGATCAGGTACCGGAGTCCTGTTGCACATAAGGAGACAGGAGAGGAGTCTTGTCACTCACTGTCAGCAGATCATAGCACTGATCCATAACCTTCACCTCTGTGACAAATCTCTCAGCGCCGCAGCCTGCGCCTCCACCGGCCGGGAGGAATATGGATCAATATTAGGTTACTGACCTGCAGATGATGACAGTACAGACTCCGGTGCAACTTGGTCTGCTTCAAGGTGCATGGAGAGGAAGAAAACGGGCTAGCTAAAGACACCAGTTACACCTTTAGCATACAATATAAACTTGATCTTCCTATGAAAAGACTATTTGTTTGTAAACATGGCGGATGAGCGAGCAAACTGACGGCAGAAAGAGCTAGCCTGACTTTAAAACACCTGTTGCCATGGTTACACGCCTTCGTACTTTTGAATTCGCTGCCATGTCGTCAGCAAACTACAAATGTTTATCACGTCGTAATAAAATAAGTTATGCTACCAAATTGGCATTAGTGGATAAGATGAATGACCCAAACACATGCATGTAACAGCCATGATTAATGTCAATACCTCTTTATATTAAAACTTTGAATTTATTCAGATAAAAATCATCTGTTTTGAGTCAAAAGAAGTCAAGCAACGAATTTCCTTTTGGGTATTTTTGCAGAGATTCTGCCATGTCTGAAAATAAACAAGATTTCTTTTTCTGGTTTAATAGAGTTTATATCCAATTAAATCAATAAAATGTCTCCAAAATGCTGATGTTGCAAAGTTCATTATTCTTTACAAGATTTAAAATGTTCCCTTCCCTAATCTCATCCTCTGTCTCCCTCTAGTGCTAACCGACCCACGACTGACAGAAAAAAATTGGTTTTGCTCATAATTTTTATATGAACTGACTCTTTAACATCTGAGAAATATTGGCCTCAAACTGCTTTATATCCCCGTCTCAGCAGCACTTTTCAATAAAAATAAATCCTAATAGACAATAATTCAAAGAAAGAAGTCAAAACGATGATTAAAATGGAAATTATTCATAATTCTACATTACGTGGACAAAAGAACCTCAAAATAAGTCCTAAAATGCCAGCAAACAGGTAAATAAAAGAAACTCAGCAAAAAAATTATAATTAATATGTATGTTTTCTTGAAAATCTAAATCTACAGAATCTAAATCTTTTAACTTGAGCTCTAAAAGATTACAAACTAATAAAATCAACTGCATTTGTTGTAGTATTTAAATTGTTTTCATATTCTTAGAGGCTAATAATTTGTGAAATATGTAAAATGAAGACAGAAATGTGGATTTTGACAAATAAAATAAAAATTTCCAGCCATTGGAATGATATTCACACTGAAATAGAGAACGCGCTAGTCCTCAACACAACAATAAAACGCAGCTATGAAAATAAAATCACAATCTGACAAGAAAACTAGGATCACAAAGCAGGAGAAATACCTTTTCATCACCATCATCAACAAACTATTGAATGGGATTCTGAAAACCAAGAGTCGGTAGGGACACGACACAAATATTTAGTCAGAGGAGCTTCTGTTTCAGAAAAACTGCTTACTGCTGATATAAAAACAGCAGGTGGATTTCTAAATCTTCAGTCTTTAACTGAATACATGAAATTTAATAACAGCATTTTTAACATTTTTTCTGTTCATTTTTTAAAACATTTATGCATTATCCTAATAATTAAACATTTCTTAAGTCAAGCCACGTTTATTTGTATCAGCAATAAGGTAGTTAATTTACATGATAAAAACATAAATAAACTAATTAAAAGTTGTAATTTAGACAAAAATTAATCAATGTTCCAGTTGCTGTCAATCAAAAGCATCAAAAAGCATTGAAAAAAGTCAGTGTTTCAGCATCTTTACAGTTTTCTGGAGGTTTGTTCCAGATTTGTGGCGCATAGAAGCTGAATACTGCTTCTCCATGTTTGGTTCTGGATGCAGAGCAGAACCAGAACCAGAACCTGAGTGGTCCAAAGGGTTGCTATGACGACAACAGACACTTAATGCATGTTGGCGGTTATGAAGACACTGTTTCAATCGATGTGAATAAAACGCATGGATGCATTTCTCAGTAACAAAAAAACAAAAATGTGAAATTCAGAGGAATAAAGATGGAAATAAATCCATTTTGAAACTAAATTAATTTATCCAAAAAAAATAAAAATACTATGTAAGTGCTTCCTTAATTAGCCTGGAATTTTAAAAAAAATCATGCATTGACAATAATTATAAAGTTTATCAGGTTGTTACTGGTTCAGCAGCTCAGTAACTTAAACTTTGGCTTTAGCTTTATGTATGCAGTTAGTTTGGTCTCAGTTTGTTTCAGCAGAGGAAGCTGAAAACATTAACAGTAAATGAGTAAACGAGTCGAAATTTATTACAATATTTCTTAATAGATTATTTCTGCATTAAAGCAAAACCAGCATCTTAACTACAAGTCAATAAAACTCAAATTCCTATTAAATGTGAGATATATTAATTCCTTAATTTAAATCAATTAACAACGAAATGTTGCACATGTTGATTGTTGAAGAAACCTTTTTCAAATGAGGATGTTTTTCAAGAACAATATTTGTGTTTGTGGTGCAATGAATAAAAAATGCATTTTTCAATTAAGAAAAAGCAATAAATAAGTATTGTAATCATACTTATTATTATCACAACAGTAGTACCAGGGCCACACCAAGAAAAAATAAGTCTTAAAATTACAAGAATAAATTTGCATGAGAATAACGTTGCAATATTTTAAGAATAAAGTGATAATATTACAAGAATAAAGTTGTATGAGAAGAAAGTCATAATATCATGAAAATAAAGTTGGAATATGAGGAAAAAAGTAATTTTACAGGAAAAAAAAGTTGTACTGTGACTTTATTCTCACATTATTTTGTCTTTTTTCTTGTAATTTTATAACTTTTTTATTTTCTTAGCATGGCCTTAATACTTCATTATGCAAAAATAAAATATTGAGTCCATCTTTATGAAACTTGGACTTTTCCAGTTTCATTTAGGAGATCCAGACAGAAATAAGGAGCAAACTTTTGTGGTTGGCTGTTCACACGTCAAAGTATTTAACCCGAGAACAGCAAACACACACACACACACACACACACACACACACACACACACACACTCCCAGATTCATCAGGCTTTGGGATCCAACAGCTTAGCATGAAAGCAAAGGTGAAACAGAATCTGTAAATTGCAGAGCAGGGAAAGGAAAAAGAGGGCGAGAGGGAAAGACAGAGAGTTGTTATCAGAGCAGGGCCGAGTGTAACCTCATCCCGCCGATAGAGTTTCCTGATCGGGTCACATGACTCAGGCCTCGAGGTGCCATTGGCTGATTGGCTCCTGCAGCCAGGTAATGATGTAAGGTGAGTGTGTGGGAACGAGAGAGGGTGATAACCCTGTGTGTGTGTGTGGTGTGTGTGTGTGGGAACAGGGTAGGCTGATAACAGCTTTTCCCACTGCTGCTATATGACCCTCTCACCTGCCCACCTAACACTAGTTATCACCAAATCCTACACTGCAGGAGGTCTGCATGTGTGTGTGTGTGTGTGTGTGTGTGTGTGTGTGTGTGTGTGTTCATACTTCTGAGTGTTTGAACAACCAGAGTACACAGAAAATTTGACACAGAAAAGGAAACGTTTCACAACCGAGAAACAGAAAAATGAATCAGAGTTTCACAAGGAGGAAATGTGAAACAGGAAGTGGGTTTAGGATCCAGGCTTTGGAGACTACGGTGGAGCGTTAGGGTCAAACTGAAAACAAACACACAGAAATAAAATTACAAGAATAAAGTCAAACAGGAATAAAATTACAAGAATATGAGAATAAAGATGTAATATTAATAGTCATAATATTATGAATTCACCTTCATATTGTTATGTAGCACAAAGCTAAAACCTATGTCGGCCAATCAGATTGCTTGAAATGAACTCTGAATTAAACATGGCGTCAGGAGGTTCATTTGGTTGGACAGATACTTTTAAATATAACATAAGTAGGGCTGGACAATAAATCAGTAATATGTATCATTATAGACGTGATCAATATCAATAGATAATACGTCTGGCAGAATGGAAGTGGACGACATTTTAAATATCCAAAAATCATAAACTAAACAATAAAATGAATTGTGGGGTTTCTATAAAAAAAGACTGAAGATCTTTGTTGTTCACTATTTCAAAGAAAAAGAGAAAATAGAAAAATGCTAAATCATGGAAATTATTGAGCTCTGTTTAATTTCTCACGTGATTAAGTAATTTATTGATTTATTGCGACAGGCCTGTCACCATGTACTCACACAAACACAAAAACTGAACTTTCTAAATCTGCTTTGGTCACAGTTTTTGTAAGTAATTGTTTTTAGTGAATTTAAATGAAGTTTTTTTTCCAGATATCGTGTGGACCATACAGAGTTAAACAAAAACTTCTCAATTTCTGTCAGTTAAGATCAAATATTTTGGTTTTGCTCCTGTTTCACTGCAAAAACACAAAATCTTACCAAGTAATTTTGGTTTAGTTTCTAGTTCACTGGAAATAAGACAAAATGAGCTTACAGGTAACTTCAAAGCAGGATATAGGAGCTTATTTTAAATCATTAAGTTGATGATAAAGTTTTGGTTCCACTGGGAGATTATTCCACTTATAACGAGACATTTTCCCATGTTATATAATCTGCCAATGGTACAGGTACTTTTTAATTATTATTAAAAGATTATTGACTTAAAACAAGCTCCTTTAACTTGCTGAAAGTTACTTATAAGTTAGTTTTATCTTATTTCAAGTGTACAAAGACATTTGCACCAAATTTACTTGGGAAGATTTTGCGTTTTTCGCAGTGTTCACGTTGTGCTGTGAGAAGCGGTTGGGTAAAACGTGCGACATCCAGCTTCTACGGCCACATTCAGATCCAAACATTATCGCCAGCAGCAGCAGCAGCAGCAGCAGCTCCCCGGCCATCGGCTCCTTCCAGCGCCGTTCCCATCCTGGTTGGCCAAAAACTTAATTGATCTTGGCCTTGGGTTCAGGCTGTGTATATGTGTGGTTCCCTGACAGAGGGCGAGTCACAGGGACTGACAGCCAGTGGGAATGGATTTTCTGGGAACCGGGAACCCCCCTCCCCCACCCGTTGAACACACCATCACATTTAACACACTCCTTCCCCCATTTTGGCCCCTTGCAGTGGAAGAAGCTGGCTGGTTCTCAGACACCTGGTCATTACCATTGCTAATTAGGTGCCATTAATCAGGCCTGTACAAGTGTCTAAGTGCATGTGAAAGTGCATGTGTCTGTGTTTTTATGTTTGGGTGAGACAGAGCAGAAAAGCGTAAGGAGAGTTTGTTTTATTATTATTTAGCAGTGGTGCTGAAAGTTCAGACCGTTCCTGAAATGTTAAAATATTAGATCTTATGTTTGTAATTGATGATAA